ACTTTCCATAAAGAGAGAAAAAAAGCTTATGTAGCAAATGAAGCATTGTTTTCTTGAAAGTCTTAATAAACTGTACTTTCTGGTTCAAAGTGGCTCCAGTTTAACAAAATACTTAAGCACGTGTGTAACACTGAGAATGGAAGCAATCCTTCTTTATTCAGAAAAGAATGGCATTTTAGTCCTATTAGTGACACTTTGATCTGTGCATAGTATCAAGTACACGCTGTAGTACCTTGCTAAACCAGAAACAGAGCAAGGTCCTCTCTTTGCTAGGTCAGATATCAGTCAGAAATGAATCCATTACCCAGACCGAAGTGACTAGAAAGCTAAGAGTATTCAATAGCAGAATAAGACTTACTTTTGTCAGTCTTACAGAAGACAGCACCGTCCGTGAACTGCAACAACCCAGGAGCTGCTGTGGTGACCACTGTGTATCAGGGTGTCCCTTGGAGGTCTAAACTGGGCTAGAACAATTTTGCCACTATCATGGATTCGTAAATGCATTGGCATATTTGTCAGGGGAGATGCAGTAAAGGTTAATTATTTAAATCTGACCTGAATTTCCCATGCTTCTATCGTGTTCCATAAAAAGAAGTTCCACAGTAATAATTTGTTATTGGACTAAAACTAGAATTAGTTATGACCCACACTGGACAAGAAGTAGCTTTTTGCTTGCTCGTCATCCCAGCTGGGGTGTGTAAGTAGGTGCATAACACTGCCCATTGAAAATATAGTTCATTAAATCATGTTGGGATATAAAGGGCATATTTAGTCTCATGTGGGGATAGCCAGTGCAGACGACAGGTTTTCTCCTCTATCCCCTCATCCTTAACAGAGAAATACATTCAGACTATTTACAGGTAGTCCCTTTTAAACACAGAAGTATCAGGAACTCAGGTGAACTGGGGTGTGCATATGTGTGTGTGTATGTGCAAGCACATGCAACACAAAGAGAGAGAGAGAAAGTCACCAAAATGCATTCTGCAGAAAAAAAATGAGGTTTATCTAGAGACTAGTAAAATAATAATTTTGGCAGTGGAGAAGTCCTGAGTGAGGTAGCTTAATGTTTGTACCTTTGTCACCCATATGGTAAAGTCTTGAATAGAATATCTAAAATAGTCATAGCTAAAAGCTAGAAGAAGAAAAATCCCCTCTCCCTTAGTTCATACTGCATGGGCTGTCTGGCTGGAGGCCAAAGTCATGACAGCTTGCATTGTGGCAGGGAGAGCAGTGTGGCTCCCTGATCAAGGTCAGCAAATTTTTAATGAACAGAGCTTGATTACTGCCCCCTTTGTGGGAAAAGGTTGTTTGGAGGTGAACAAGGCTCTGTGCACAGAGGTATTCCACACGTGCCCTCCTTCGCTCTCAAAACCAGACAAGCTGGAGCTGTCTCCAGTATGGTTCCTCGCTGCTGGGGAATGCCTTCCTGAGAAACAGGCACAGTACCTCTATGAACTGAGGCTGGTGCATCCTTATCTCAGCACACAGCACCTGCAGTCAATAGTCACTGAGACCCTGCGAACAGTTTTACTGCACTGTTTCGTCCCACCTCTTGCATGGTGGCATCCCTCAGCTATTGTAAGGCTTGCCCTCTCAAGGTTTTGTATTCCCAGACCCAGTATTGCAGGGCTGCTGGGAATGTTTGACTGGTTTGGCATTCAAATCCAAGCCTTACCCCTCTAAATCATATATCAAGTTTTCTAGGACATCCCGTTGTTACAGAATGGATTTGGAGTAAAATCAGTCCTGCTGCAATCTCAAGGGCATTTTACAATTTGGGATGGGCAGGACCAGAATTTCAAACATAGGTTCTTTCTAGAGAAGGGTTCGAAAATGAGCGAGAAAGCTGAGTTCTGGTTTAAGGGGTTGTCGTAAGAGCTACAGCCTTCCAGAAATGTCAAATTCCTCAGACTGACTGTGGGTCAGAACTTTCCATTAAGCTTCTCCTCTGGAAGCAGATCTGCCTGAAGATCAGATGACAGACACCAGAAAGCAATGCTTGTTTACATACTCAGAGTTTAAAATAAGAAATTTGCCAACATGTTTCTGTTTTAAAAAGGCTTTCTAAAAGTTTTTTGTGAAGAGGCAGCACTGTTTACTTTTACAACGTAGTAAGCAGAACCTTTTCTCTGGTGTTCGTAGCCTATTTGGGAAGTACTTTCCAGCATCCATGGGCAAAGCTGCTTAAAAACAGTCCTCTACAAAAATAAAGTGGTAAAGCTATAAAGCATTTTTTTGTCTTGGTAGACCAAAATAATTTTTTCCCAGTATTTCAGGAAGAAGCTGACATTCCCAAAAGTTCATTAGCTTGACTCTTTTGGGGAGGGGTTTTCTTTTTGCCTTTAATCTTCTACTGATACCGAGAATGCCTTTGTTTGTATTAATACAGGGCTACTTTTTATCACTCCATGTTTAGACGCTAGCTCTCTTATTGACCATTTTAGCTACCTTTTGCTTTGAAAAAAAATACTGAATCTTGTTGTTTTAAAAAGAACAGCTTCGGTGTGATTCCAGCCAGTGGGATTTATAATATAATTCTTACAAGAGGAATCAGAGTTTTGATATTAAGAGCTGGAGCACTTCATTGTCCATAGGGAGCAATGTTGTAAAATCAGGAAGTTCTAAATTCTTTTTTTTTTAACTCTATATTTTCTTATGTCAAAGAGTTAAAATATATTCTTTTCCTGCTTGCTGTTGACTAGCAAAGTATTTCCTCACCCTCTGCTGTAGAAAAGAATCATGCATATTTGACATCTTCCTCCTTTTCTCCTTAATATTTCAAATAATTCAGCTAGACTATCTCCATCAATTGGGTAAGCGGAGCTGTAACACCTACTTAAGGGAGGGGAACCATCTGGTTTCCTTGCAACTTGGAGCCTGCTGGCAAATATTAGGTTGTACCAATTTAGAGCATGATGAAGTGGGAAATAATGGACATTCTTGAAGAATCTGAAATGGGATCAGCTGTTATTGGCAAAAATTGGCAGGTGCAGTGCACTATGCTGGCTGTAAGCGTGGTCTCAGGTTGGAGAGTGCAACTGGGAAAATGGCCTGCTAATTGAATGGTTGCAGGACTCCCAGCAGCTCTGACAGTGGTGGAGCATCATTAATTGGAGGCTCTTGGTTGACTTAGTGGAAGCTGTCACAGAATGAAGGATCCTGCAAGCTGATGTTTACTTTCTAGGTGTTAGTGGGTTTACTGCCTGTTACTCAGAATGAGTCCTTGTGGAAGAGCTCAGAAGTGCTTTCAAACTTAGGAGGACTGGCATAAGGCTGGCAGTAACTATTTCTTATTTATATTTACAGCATGGTGACAGTGGTTGGGAGTCATAAAAGCTATTCAATTACACATTTGTTTAACTGCACACTTCTATTGTTATCTTTCCCATCCCTCTCTTTTTCCCTTTTATGTTCATTTGTATCAGGTTTCTAAATTGGCTTGGCTTGGAGCAGCAACTATTCTTTTTTTTTTATTTAGAGCCTGAGAAGACCTTGTCCTCAACTGAGTTTCTTGGATGCTGCTGTAACTCATACGGTGGCTATAGAAACAAAAATAGCTTGGTTTTGGTCCAGAACAGTATGACATGCACCTCTGGTTTATGTGGGTCTCAGAATAGCACTGTATGCAAAAGCACAAATGCGTTAGCCGTGGCTCCCTTTTTCATATGTTGTTTTTATTCATTAAATGCAAACATATTGCAGTGCATCCCAGTTTAATATAAAGGTCTGTTGGCAAAATGTGGCATTTTCCTTCAGCTGTTAGCACCCCTCGAGGGAAGATCTATTGGCAATGAGTGCTGTGCAGAAAGTGCTGCTGACTTCAGAGTGCACTTCATGTATCATCAGTGACTATAGCACCCTATGCACCTAAAAACTCTCCAGCTATGTAAGGCGTAGCTTTCCTGTATGAATTATGGTGGCTAGGAGGTAAGAGGCCTCAGCGACAGGGTTATCCCACCCCGCATGCCTTTGGCGCTTATAGGCATGAGGTTATCTGTGAGTTTGGATTGAATGAGGAACAGCGAGCTGAAAGCTGGCCTGAACGTCCTGGTGCTCTGCTGTCTTCATGGGCTGTAGGCCAAGTTTTAAACCCTTTGGGAGGACTGATGAGACCAAGTTTTCAAGTTGGACCCCGAGCAAGTCTTCCAGTGGCCATCATGCTCTTCCCCAGTTGAGGTGATATAGCTGGAAAAAATGCCTTCAGTTTGCATCTGCATTTGGATAACCTGTGTCAGGTGGGAGGCAGGGAAATGAAATGGGAAGGATTTGGAAGCTGTACCCCTGAAACAAAACCCTGTGTGGCAAACGTCAAGCACAGGCCTATGATGAACCTGGGAATAGCAAGGCATTGATGGAGAGGCTCCTGCCTCCTTCCCCTGGCTCTGCCTCTGCAGCTTGGGACAAGCTATTTTGGGGAGCGCCATTTTTTTAAATGTCGTAGCTTGATGTGCACGAGTTCACAGTGCCTGGTTCTAGCCTAACTCTCATGGATGCTTATTCTGCCCCTCTTTTGATTTTCCTGGCATTAAGAAGTGGATGGAAATAACTCACCAGCTTCAGAAAATTAAATAAATTGGGCATCGCCCTGAAGCTGGACAGTAACACTTGGCTTTTTTGGTTTTGGGAAACCCTGCCTCCCAGGGACCTGCCTGGCTGACTGAGAGATGGCGGACAGATGATGAAACCAGGCTGGTTTTGGGACCTGTCCTGAGCACCCCCTTTGCCAGGGCTGATCCTCCCTGCAGCCAGCCCTGCAGGTATGCACAGCACCCCAGACCCCGCTATGCCCCAGGGGGCAGCTGCCACATTTTGGTGCTCAGCGGGATCCCCTTGCTGGGGATGCAGCTGGGGCTGGGGTAGGAAAGGATCATGGTGCTTCAGGGAAGAAGGGCCAGGCAGGTCCAGCAGGTGCCATCAGCACACTATGATGGGCTGTTAACATCCCCCCTTCTTTTCTTTTTTTAATCTTTTTTTATCTTTCCCTTTTCCTCCACACACAGCTGAATGAATCCGCCAAGCAGCTCATCGAGATGGACAAGACGTGCTCAGCTGTCGCCTCCGGCTGCGATGTGCCGCTGCCAACGGAGACGGCGGCAGTGGCAGCGGCAGCAGCGGCGGGTCTGGCACCATGCTCCACGCTGGCCAGCGCTGGGGCGGCCGGGGCGGCCCAGCGGCAGGCGGAGGGCAAGAAGAACGCCAAGAAGCGCCACTCCTTCACCGCCCTCAGCATGACGCACAAGTCCTCCCAGGCTGCCAGCAACCGGCACTCCATGGAGATCAGCGCCCCCGTCCTCATCAGCTCCAGCGACCCGCGGGCGGCTGCCAGGATCGGGGACCTGACCCACCTCTCCTCCAGCGCCCCGGCCCAGGTAAGGGGGAGCGGAGGTGGGTTTTGGGCACCCTTGGTGGACAGCACGCCACTGACTCGCCTCTTTCGAAATGGCTGACCCTCGCACAAAGCGGTTGCACAGTGCTGTTGTCCCGATGTGACGGTACTTGGCATCTGTCGTTCCCATCCTTGTGTTAATCAGTGGGCAGGCATAGGATAAAGCCAAATTTGATCCACAATAATGCAACACGTTTAAAAAAAAAGTAACCTTACAATTTGTTTGAAGTAATACAGCTTATGTTACATCACTTTCTGTTGTAGAAAGGAATAATTTTGAGTGATCCTGTTACCCTGAATGTATCTGTTACCCTGCAGGGTAGCAATGTCAGTATGAAATTCACACATTGGGGATAAAAAAGATTTTTGGAGTA